GAACTTTAATCACAAAAAACGTCTTTGCCGTCCCCTTGCCGTCCCCGGTCACTCCATGGCGTCTCCGATCAACCGAAACGTCTAGGGGGCGTTTCCTAGCCGTCCTCATCCCCACGCCGTTTCTGAGACGGGGGAGCTACATGTTTGCCGTTTCCGTGCATCCTAGGTGCAGGGTTCTCTAATTCTCTTAGCTATATCGCTACAGTCGACTCACCTTGATTTTTCTGATCATAGTCATTACACTTGGCTCTGGAAGAATCTAAGAGTGGGAAGAGGACCAACTTATCAGTGTGAAGATTTTGTCAAGGTCGATGAGACTCTGATTCCGTATCACTCTTCTTACTTTGTCTTAGACTAGGTAGTAGTGTGTGTGTCTTGTAGTGTCTCTATGTGTGTTTTAAGGATTTCAGTAATGTTGTTCCTAAACTTTTCCAAATCCTAATATTAGAGTTTCCTTCTTACTCCAAATTGAGAAAGTTACTAGAGTCACAAACGCGTGTACGTTACAAGCACTCCAAGTGTAGCAAAACTATGTATCTAAAGAACGAAAATTGGTGTTATATACACAGCATACAATTGTGAACTAGTTAGTAACACATATAACTATTCAGTACATAGTTGAACTCGACTTTCATCTAGACATCAAGTTACATGTTATACCTCATGTCAGTAGATAAAGCTCACAAATTGATGTATAAAGTAGCATTTTTAATGAAACTACTTTTGTTGGTGAGATAAATGCCTTTTCCCATTGTCATCCGTTTTGTATTATTGTGACATGAATATAAATAATGCTTGAAAAGAAGTGGCAAAGCGTTACAGAGAGTTAGAGTATGAGTTGGGGATCAGAGTATATCTGTATAGTGTAACTTCCTGATTCTGGTACATTTTGACTTGTGAAATATGTTTAGTTCTTTACAGAGTGTATTCTCATAGCATCGCCGGCGGTGAAGCTTATTGTTGATTGGTTTAAGGACCTCTGGCAAAATAAGTTGAATCCCACTGACCTGACCGAATGTCAGCAAAATATTATGTGTTCATGGTCCATTTGTTGAAAGTCAATTAGGAAACTCTAGTAAGCTAACCTAGTATCTATTGGTAGTGCTGAGAGTCGTCTGAGAATTGAAGATGTGTGTGGCAGGTAGTTCCCGATTTAGATGA